AAAATCGGGCCAGAATTTCGATACGTACCGAAAATATGGCCCCTTGAGTTAGGCAACCTATCCTTACAGGTAAGTCGGACCGGTTGCCTGGTTTTAGGCGCAAACGTGCCACCTCTTCGCATATCATGTTCTCCTGATACCAGGAGCAAAATTCTGACCAAAATTCGATACGTACCAAATTGCCTTCATGCCACCTCTTCACATATCAGTTCTCCTGTTACCAAAATGTAAAATCCGTCCAGAATTTGATACGTACCATGAATTCCTCGTACCACCTCTTCGCATATCATGTTTTCCAACTGAGAAGTTACGAACCGTGGCGATTTTTCAGGAAGTGTCAGGAAGTGTTAGAAAATCGGAGATGGTGTTAGAAGTTATTAGGAGATGTTAGAGTTTGTTAAGGGATGCCAGAAAATGTTAGAAGGTGTTAGGAGATGTTAGAATGTTTTCGGAAGTATCAGGAGATGTCAGGAATTGTTAGGGATGTTAGATATTGTTAGAATGTATTAAGAGTTATTAAGAGGTATTTGGAGTTCTTAAAAGTTGTTAGGAGTTGTTCGGAGATGTTAGGAAATATGATGTATCGGGAGGTATTAGGAGGTGTCAGGAGGTACCAGAAGGCGTTAGAAAGTGTCAGGAGTTATTATGATATGTTCGATGGTGTTAAATGACATTTCAAGTAACATGTTCTACATTTAATTTCGATTTATTTAAATAAGTAAAGTTGTAATACAATGTAATTCAACAATGATGTTCTTAGAATCTACTATGTATATTACAATCTACAATTTTAAATTTATATAAATTTTGTGTTTATTGTTAGAATGTTTTTACATTCGATATTGCAGCCATCTAACGGCAAAAAGTTCGAATTAATTTTGGATCGTATGGTTAGAGCCATTAAATACAAAGTTTGAGTAGTCTGTCGTTCCTCTGGTCGCTCTCCGTAGCGCTCAGTACGGTGTGCTCACTGATAAATCCTAGTGGTTTCTAGTAATATAGGTCGTGGATCGGGACCAGTTGGCTGAGTGGAATATACCGCTTACAACAAAGCTGCGTAGTACCAACTGTAAGATTGCCACGCAGAAGGATTACCGATCTATGTTTAATGTCGGTTATTAATGACGTGTGTCATGGCAGTGTAGTGTTCGATGTTTTTCACGTAGCAGTTGACATATACTTGCATTAGGCAAATAGATAGTAACAACGAACATTAGCAATATAATGGCGAAAACAATTTTGCCGTGGCTATTGTTTACGATATCTACCATTCATTGTGCGTGGGCTTTCTACTTGCCGGGCTTAGCACCTGTGAATTTCTGCAAGGCCGGAGAAACGACGGAAACGTGCAAAGTAGTTATTTAAAAAAATATTCCACCGTTTTGGAATTTGGTTACGATTATACTACTTCTCTCTTTTTACTTTGAAATTATTTACAAATAATTATAAGTAATCACTCTTTGTTTTTAGCATTTATTTAATTTGAGATAGATTTTTATATCAGTCTACTATTTTGATTGCCACGTTAATAATTATTTCAGATAATTCTGTACGTGTTTCAGTGTACTCTTTTATGACATGTGTCTCATATTGTGAAATCAAGTCCCGAAAGATTGTAACCATTGTATGCCTAAGGCTGAGTTGTTTTGGATTATGATCATAAATGTCAGATATCAGTGTCAAGATATGTGATACTTCAGTTACACATTAACATTAAAGCAATAAACACTCACACGAGAAAAAAATACATTCCCAGTAGTATTCTATGACCGCTATGATGGAGTGTTTTATTTATTTTATTTTAAATATGTCAAACTTACACAAAGATTATTTCATTATTTAATTGGTATAGGTTATGGTAGAAATATGTTGTTCTCCACTATTTAAAAAATCAGTGCATGAAGGTCACATCTTTAGATATTTAACTGAACATAAAAATAATAATAACAAATAATATTTTTAAATTGAGGTATTTATTAATTGAATAAAATGTTCAGGAGAAGAAGTTCCATTTTTTGTCAGAAATTCTTATATTTTCAAGAAATTGAATAAATATTATGGCACTCTTTACAACATGATTTAAATTTCTTTTAAGAATTTACATATTGGTAATTTCAGTAATGTAATTTATTTTATTGTAGTCCTTTGCAATTATATGATGTTCTTTGTTTTAGTCTGAAATTAAACTGTATGTAAACCGTTTGAACACTGAGAAGTATGTAATACCATACGAATACCATCAGTAAGTTTTTCCATGATTTATAAAGAACTGTGCTCTGCTATAATTTTAGGAAATTGAAACTAATGGATTTAACAATTTTTAGTTTTGATTTTTGCCCTACCGATGAAAGTCAAAGTCCTGTTGAGAATTTGGGACAGGTTGTTTTTGGAGAACGTATAAGACCTTCTCCATATAAGGTAAAGTCACACAATATAATATTTTCTTCTATTTTTTAAGTGTAATTGATTTTACACATAGTATTATTTAATTATACAATTTGAAGTGTAATAAATGTGTTCATTTGTACATGAATTGTACATTTTTAGTTAGAGTTCTTGAAAGACGTGAAATGTGGCATTGCATGTACAAGAACTTACAAAGGTGGAGACAAAGAATCAGAAAAAAAATTGGAATTTTTGAAGAAAGGAATGGCACTTAACTATCAGCATCACTGGATAGTGGGTAAGATTTTAACAATAAAATTAATTAAACCTTAAATGATGCAAACTATTGTTTACTACCAGTGTTTTAATCATTTTGCAGATAATATGCCAGTCACTTGGTGTTATCAATTGGAAGATGAACGACAATATTGTAGCACTGGATTTCCTATGGGTTGTTTCTCTCGAGAATTAAAATCTCAACAAGATACTTGTAGCATTAGTGTAAATATTCATCGCCATACTATTCAAATTAATGAATAATGCTATCGAGACAAGTTTCTAATATTTTAAGAATATTCTTATTATTTCAACTTAAAGAACATATTGATACTAATTAAAATTAATATATTCTTTCTTCATTAGGGCGCGTATAACAAACCGAAAACTTATTACCTGTTTAATCATGTAGACCTTACAATTACGTATCATAGTGGAGCAGACGAAGAGTGGGGATCTTCATTTAAAGAGAATGGCGGACGCATAATATGTAAATGATTTGAAATTTTGATTCATATTATAAGTTTTTATGAACTTACGTTTTTTTAAGTTTTATGCTTGTATTTTTAACAGCTGTTAAAGTGGTTCCTCGCAGTATTAACCACAATAGTAATAATCCTAATTGTGAAAGTAAGATACCATTAGAAATATCACGTGATCCACTTCCAGTTGGCAAGGAATTATCTATCACTTATACGTATTCTGTAACATTTATGGTAAGTTCTCATGTAATAAAATGAAAAACTGAATTAAGTTGGCATTTAAAGAAATATCATTTGCGTTTTCAATTTCAGGAAAATAATACAATCAAATGGTCATCTAGATGGGATTATATTTTAGAATCTATGCCACATACGAATATCCAGTGGTTCAGTATTCTTAATTCATTAATA